GCTCTGCAATGGCAAACGAAGCATGTAATTTTATGCAATTCAATCTAAATAAATTAACAGCCTCCTGAAGGCAGCCAAACATCTGCCGTTGCTGTGACAACTGTAATGAACATGCAAAATGGAAGCCTTTCATAAGACCTGTGCTAGCTGGACATGATTTAACTAAGTCTTTCAAAAAGACTCACTTGACAAGCAGGTGGGCTTAAGTTATGCAAAGCACAGCGTCTTGAGCACCGACATAATTTACCTAAAAAGCTAATTAATTTTTAGTTGATTTTGTGTAGTCGCTTCTGCCGAAGCAAACACCGCAACTGCCATCATGCGCCGCTACCAGCTTATTAAACTCACACTAAGTCGTCAATTATTTTATCACGGTCGAATTATTTTTTTCGGTCAAATTAATTAATTATTTATTACTGTCAAATTAAATAATTATTTTATTACGGTCGAAGCTTCTTAAACTCACATTAGGTCGTCAACTATTTTATTAAGGTCGAATTCACCACAAAATTCGCTTAGTATTCGTGGGGAATATTCGCACGCAGTATCTTCTGGTATTATGTCAAGGGAGAAAATAAAAAGATAGTTTTAGAAGAAAATTCGCAGCAATTTTTATAGGAGTTACACTTCTTATTCGGAATTCTTTAGTTTCAAGTCGAGTCATTATCCCAGTGAAATTTTACAGACGCGGCAGCTTATGATTTGGATTACCAGAAGCTGCTGCGACTCTAAATTTTGTTTGGGTAGGTACTATATGAAGCTGTTGAGCTCGAGTCAACTGAGTATGGCACTCAATACCTTTTATGTATTCATGACAGGAGCTACTGACCAAGCGCTGCTCTCTGCTGACTCAATAGAACGATTATCACGCATGCATGCCACCTTATTCCTTCACCTTATAGTGTAGCGGGCCAAATTTTGGCAGCACTGTTAGTTTAAAATAGCCGCAGTTTACCGACTATGACTGAAGACGAAAAGGATAGGAACGCATCTTTCGTTGGACGTGGGGATTATTAGTCTGCAGCTGGTCTCCAATCAGAACTGTGGAGTTCTCAGACTCCACTCTGTTGTAAATGTATTTCCATTTCCATGGTCATTGTGTAAGCCTCTCATAATCAAAGGATTAAGTAAATACGTTACGTGTCCCTTTACTATTTCGCAAACTGTAATTACTCAACCTCGTATGTTGGGCAATCCGTGATGTTTGAAAGTATTTGACATCCTTGATATTTGAATGTAGTTAGTCGTCCCGTTATAAGAACTACGAGAAGAAAGAATATTGACAGACATCGGCGAAAATGTGTACTGTGAAAGTGGATTGAGCGAAGGATAATGTTCGGTTATATCGATCGTTAAAAAAATAGAACATGATAATGTTGCAAGGTAAAATTTAAATAGTGACTAGTGCTTCTAAATTTGCATGAGTTTTTCGTGCGTAACCTAAAAAATGTTATTATAATTCTCTTGAATATTTGTAAATCGAGAAATCCGTCGCACTTGCTTAGTTTGATGCTGCATCGAATCAATTCAGTTCAATTATGGTTTTGTACTTGGTCGGACGCTAGTTTTGTGCAAGAGAACTGTTATGTTTGCAATTAACTGCTAATTGAACTGTTCTGTAGATTGGCCAACTTCAGCAATCAGGCTTCTATGGAGCTCATTTGTCACTGACTAAACTTTCTGAGAAAATTATTATTGTGACTGTTTTCGATTTTTGTTGGGGGAAAAAATATGTAGAGTATTGAGTATTGAGATGATTTTATCAAACGTGAAGGTAATTTTTGCGTTCAGTTCGAAGCTTCTCATCCTTTTTGCATTAAATGTTTGCGAAAAATATTCTAGCAGGCTCACCTGTTTTTGTATTTGGGAGCTGATTAATGCGAATTTTCTTTTGTTTGAATGTTGTTCAATTGATTGATGCGGTTTTTGATGCGTAGTTTATGTTGAAATAAGAATTTTTCGTTGATAATAATGCCATGTTTCACTATAAAAAATTGGATGTTACAGTTTATACGCAACTAAAATTACGTCAGACTTGAAAACTGCTTATAATGCATCTGGAAGAATGCATCATGTAAAATTTAATAAATAATGTTTTCAACCCTTCAGCGACAAAGCGTACTGTGATTGCATGACATAAATCTTCATTGAAAACATTTCACAGATCGGCTCCATCATTATTCTAAAAAATTTCATAATAAAAGGTAAATCAAATGGAAAATCCAAATTTACGCGAAATGGATTAGAACCAAAGAAACGAGAAAACGACAATTGAGCATAAGAACCTATCGATATACAATTTCAAGAGGACAACAACTGTACGCGTTATTAAAACAAGGTTTTCGTTTAAAAATGTGCATCGAAATACCTTAAATCTGAAACACCGGAGATGGAACCGAGTATCTGGCAATCGTTCTCAGACACAGTCACGTCGTCCTGTTCAGCGCGAAGGCGCACAGCAGAGTGAGGGGAGATAGCAATATGGGTAGATGTGAACGATAGCAGCTGTGTTGGACAACCTGTGTTGAGCAACCTGTGTTGGGCAACCTGTGTTGGCAACATGTGACAGGCAACATGTGTTGGGCAACCTGTGGCAGGCAACATGTCAGGCAACATGTGACAGGCAACATGTGTTGGGCAACCTGTGGCAGGCAACATGTGGCAGGCAACATGTGACAGGCAACATGTGTTGGGCAACATGTGGCAGGCAACATGTGTTGAGTCAACTAAGTCATTCATTCGTATGCTGAAGCGCAACACGCACAACTCTATTCATAACCATATCTATGACGACCTCGTAGATCTGGGGGAGGAACAGCGTCCTTATTCACGAAGAAGGAGGTTATTTTGAAATTATACGCTAGTCAAACATGTATGTTAATGTTGGAAAGTATTTTGCCAAAAAGGTCTTCTATTCTCGGGACATTGTTTCAGACGAGCTAACTAGGTAATAGTACAATAAATAGTTTCCTTACGATCAACCTCAGTAATAGATTCAGAGTATTTTCTAAACAGAATTTTTTTGTATTTTCGTAAGGCTAAGATTCGAGGGTTTGATATGATTTAAGGTGAAGCAAATTCTATAGTCTCGGTAAATTATGGTTTGAAGACCGTTAATTTCAAAACTAAATGAGCATAAGCAAAAGAAGTTCGTGTCCAAGCCGTAAATTTCGGTTTTCGATACACTCAATTCTCAGTGCGTTCGTTCGATTTAGTAACTTTCAATTAAGAAACGACATACTATTGTTGGCTTCCATCTCCATAATAAAATTTATCGATGGATGTTACAGGTTGAAATAATCCAAGAAAAAAGCGATTATTGAAAATTAGAAAATTGTACCTATTGCACAATTCCAAATTTTACCTATTGTAAAAATTGGCTTACAATTATCGAGAGAATGATCCAATCAATAAACCTTATAGAAGTTCTTGAATATGTTAGCGACTATAGGAAGAAGGGAACGGTCCATGCCGAAGCCGCATAACTGTTTTTTTTTTCTTGTAAATGCGACAAAAAGAGTTCATTACCGATGATTGCAAAAACTTTTTGGTTAAGCTTCTAGGACAAAGACCTGGTCATTCACATATATGAGCAAAGAATTGAGGTAAATTTTCAATAATTTTGGTGTAAAGAATATCATGGAATAAATTTTCTACCTTCACTCATCAGCTCTAAAGCATACGAATATACAAATATCAATTAGTGAATTCTGCAGTCGCTTGATAAGAAATGTGAATGTTATGAACGAGAACTTTTTGTTATTGCAACAACTTGAATTAGAAAAGATTTGGTCGTTATTAATGCATGTTTACCTTAAAATTTGAAGGAGGATTAGGCATTCGATAATTCCGTGTCAATTTGAACGGTTAATTGGGAAGCCGCTCCAATAGCGAGCTCTCATAATTTATTCCAGCTTGTATTGGAAACTGATGGTTATTCCAACACTGCATTACCGGATGATATCAAATGGGTATCAGAGATTATCTAATAATAAGATGGGCATCAGAGATTATCTAATAATAAGATGGGCATCAGATATTATCTAATAATCTGGTGGGCAACATGCATTAATTACCTTATTATCAGATGAGCATCTTGTATAGCCCGATCAAGAGATATGTATCAGTTATTACGTACACATGATTTGAAAAAATTATATTTACTTTAGTCCTAATTATAAAATATTAATAATTATGCGATTATAAAATAATGATACAGCTTAGTTAAAATGTGCGAATATGCAACAAACACACATGAAAATACAATATATACCGTTTGCCTGGTATTTTAGTTCATTTGATATGTTAAGTTGTCAAATTCATTAGTTCAGCTAAATTATTTTTCTTAAGAACCCAATTTAATTCCTTGGAATGGTCGTTTTCATGGTTTAAATGTATGGAGCTTTAATATACAGAAGTATATTAGATAAAACATCTATCTTTATAAATTGAAATGAATTATGAGCAATCAATAATTATACTATCATATGCTATTTATATTAATATCTGTACTGTTTGATATTTTAATGCCCAACGTGGCCTGCATGGATGAAGCGGCATGCACAATTTGTAGTATTTTATCTTCATTTGATTGGAATCTAAAACACTGCAGAGACTAAATACTTCTTAGTCTCAAAATAAATACAGCGATTTTAATCCGTATTCAATTATCAAATGGATTTCCATGTGCTAATTTGATGCGCGATGCTGATTAAACATTTATCCATGATGCCAAAATTCGATTTATCGGAATTCTAAATAGGTCGATCGGTACAATTTTACTGAATTTTTTCCTGCCAGTGTCGATCGGAATCATTTAACGGAATTTTTATCCTGCCATGATTTTACTCGTCAATTTTTCTGTGATCACAATAACCTTGACTTACACGAACTCTTATTAGATCAATTGCAACAGTATAACTGTGGTCGCAATAACTGTAATTTATATGATCCCTTAACAGTTCAGTCTTCCCAATTTTACAGAATTTTTCAACTCTCAGGTTCATGTGGGAATCCCGATGCGAAGCGCCTGTATGACGACCTCCTCTCCAACTACAACAAACTCGTGCGTCCCGTCATTAACGTCAGCGATCCGGTGGTGGTCAAGATCAAACTCAAACTTTCTCAACTCATCGATGTGGTGAGTACTATTTTAAAGGACTAATTTTACTTCTCTTTTCTGTCATTATTTAAACTGACGCTAGGTTTCAGACAAAGGGAATGATAATATTCATAGCCTATATGTTATTTATGTTATGTATATTAATAGTCTATTGTACTCTAAATTAAATATTCCGAATTCAAGATTTTTGATCTAATGCTCAAAATATTATTATCTAATTTCAGTTTGATAATGTTGAACAATTGCCAAAATTCAACCTAAAAATTTTCTACTTCATTCCTGAACTCCAACATGAATAATTTCGATTTGATAATTATTACAATGTAATGTTTCGATTTCGTTATTTATTAAGTTATTTTTATATAAAGTTCGTCACCGGAGTTCCACCTTGATTGGTACCTATTAATATTATTGCTATTATAAATTATTATTGCCATGTGCATCAGGTGAACAAAAATGTCTACCGATGAATTTACGGGCGATTCTGAATGTGCGAAAAATGAAATTCGGAACAAAAAATACTTGGATGAGTAAATTGAAATGTTTTCAGAAACAGTGGATCGAATCTTAATTGGAAAACAAAATTCTGTTTCCTGTTTACAAGGCTTGCAAATTCTTAACAATATTTGCATGATGGAGTGAATTACTTATTATGTATTACATGAACTAAAAATTATTCGTCAAATTTAGTGCATAGGATTGAGGGTGAAGGGTATAGAGGTTGAATGTGGAGGGCTGATGGTATAGTGGTTGAATGTAGATGGAGGAGGGCGGATGGTGGAGGGTTTAGGTTAAAGGTTAACGGACCAGGGTTCAGCAGGGTTTAAAGTTGATGGTTAAAAAAAAATCGAGAATTGTGGTTTAGGGGTTGAGGGTTGAGACTTGAGAATAAGTAGTTAAGGGTGGAAATTTTAAGGTAAACATTGAGGATTATGGGTTTATAGATATAGGTTTTCAGGTTGAGATTATAATATTTTCTCATGCCATTTACTCCGATTTACGGATAAAAAATAACCTGTCATGACGGTCGCAGATCTGCATTTTAAATTTCTTCTCTTTAACAGGTTTCAGGAAATATATATTGAAATGTATAGATGTGGGGGTAGAGATACACGTGGATCGTTCTTTGGCTCAAAAGTTTCATTAGAGTTCATTGGTTCAATGGTTTTAAAATGTTCAAAGGTAGTGATGAAGGAGTGTCAATCTCAGTAAATAGAATATTTATTGAGATCGAATGAATTTGAATTTATTATATGAAAATGAAATGAATTTTGAGATTTATCTAATTTTCTGTGAAGTGTATTATCTCAAAAATGTTCAGTTTATATAAACAGAATGTATACAAACTAGTATAGGTTGGCAGACTTTGTTCTTTTAGGCAGGTTGCATTAATGACCAGAGAATTTGTTTTGTTGACGATTTTCTTATTAGTTTTTTCAACATATCGAACAAAATTTTTGGTTTTCACAGGAAAATTGAAAATCATGGTACGGATGGACATTTTTATTTCGTTAACGACGTTTCGAATGTTTCAATCATTCATTATCAAGTTAAGAAGCGCAATGAGTGACGAAATTTGGGTCGACATTAGCACAAAATCATGTAGAAATGTCCATCGGTACCCTGATTTTCGATTTACCTGTGCAAACGAAAAATGTTGTTCGCTATGGTGAAAAAACTAATCAGAAAATCGTCAATAAAACAAATTCTCTTATCTTTAATGAAACCTGCTTAAAGGAACAACTTTTGACATCCTATACCAAATTATACAAAGTGACGCCACTGCGCGGACGAAGTTTAGCATTTGTAAATTACTCGACCTCCGAAAACTTGTGTTCATATTCATAATTCAAATTCCAATCTCAAGATTACATTTTTGTGATATTTTCATAATTTATATTATTAAATGAATTAGGAATTAAATTAATTTTTATTTATAAAATTATTAAATATATATCGTTAGAGTCAAATTAACATATGCGGATGTCATATGTGCAAATTTATTTTCTGTACTCAAGATGCATATACTTCTAAATATATTGCTGCGTTTAAACTATATGATATTGAAGAATAATGCTTCACATCTTTCTAAATAATTCAGCGGTGAATATATCATTCATACACTATAATACCGTCCAATATTGAGTATTGAGTTCTGGCCATTGAAGGCATGGGGTCCTGAAGTCTACGGCAAATGCCTCCACAAATCAAAATATTCAATCGGCTTCCTATTATACTGCATGGGGTCTGACTGAGATATGGTTAGCTCGATCGATGAGTCGTTTTCGAATTCTCTGAATGCGAAACGAAATTCTCCAATTTCGTTCGTTGGTTTCGTATTTCGGGAGGGCACAGATATGATTTATATATCACACTTTTGAGGAAAATTTACTCATTAATTACAATAATAATACTTATTTATATGATTGCGTTTATTAAATTTGAATGATTGGACGAATGTGGGAAGTAATAAATAATAATTTCGTGATTAATGGTGAATAATATTAACAGCTTAACTCATTGCTGTAAACGAAATAAAATATACGAATCATAATAATTCAGTTACCCAGATTCCTATTAAATTAAAACCCGTCATTTCGATAATCTTTGTAAACCTCTAAATCAAATTAATGATGATATGAGAAAACCACGTCCTAGCAATAATCTAATGAATAAATTTGATTTAACCTTGCCCCCGGAAATAGGAAAAATAGGATCTAGGTAATACCCTAACACGGTTTCTATGGGAGGCATTTAAACTAATGAATTATTTTCTAAACAATGCTTTCAAGTTTTATATCCAGACCTATAATTTTTAATTCTATTTTGTTTGATTGTATCTATCAATAGATTCATTTTATCCAAAAATGTATTTTATGTTCTTCAACATATCTCAGATGTATATAAAAAGTAATCATATTCCGGAACTATTATCAAATAAGGAATTTTTAATATTTGGGAAGTAGTATATATTATATTTCTGAACTCAGCTCAAAAAATAATAATATAATAATAGAAATAATAATATCTTCCAGTCTTCACACACATCACATCACAAACATCCCAGCACACACCACACAATACACATTACATGATACTGATCATAGTATTGCAATTCTACCAGCAATTTCTTGAATCTTCATTACTTTAGCTCAGTTAATAAATTAATAACAAATAGTACTATTTAAATAAATACCGTGTCAGGCTCTGTCATCTGTCACTCTAGAAGCCATAATTTCGTGGGTTAATCAAGTAACGCTCTTCTCTGAACAATATTCTAGATCCATTAATCTAATTGTAATGAGTTCACATCTAGTAATTACGATCGTTTATCTTTGGAATAATATTTTTAATTGTATTAAATTAAAGACTGAACATTTAGACTGAAGATTTATTGCTTATAATATTCAGACAGAAGATTTATTGCTTTATTCGTTCATTATAGGAGCATTTACAAACGATCACTCTCATAGTAATAAAATGTTTGTCAAATTCCTTGCAAATTTAAATAATATTTCCTATTCTTTGATATTCACTCGTACATAAGTAGGAACGTTTTCCTATTCCATTCATATTTCAGCGAAAGTAATATCCATTAAATATGGATCCATATTTCATACGCAAATAGATACAAAAACTTCATCTTTTGGTGTCTTAACTTTAAACTGCGACCGGAGAGCAGCGTTAAAAATGGTCCTCTTTGTCATAAGTTGAAACTTTAATGGAAAGTTGAAGCTCCAACACACCTGCGTGTGAGGCTCCAACACACCTGCGTGTGAGGCTTCAACACACCTGCGTGTGAGGCTCCAACACACCTGCGTGTGAGGCTCCAACACACCTGCGTGTGAGGCTCCAACACACCCAGAAAGTATAAGTGAACTCAGCTCGACACTTACCGTAACTTCATTTATCGTACATAAAGTTTCAGCAAACTTTGTAAACAAGATCAAACACAGATGTTATTTGTTTCATCTTTTATCAAACATTTATAGAAACGGCCGAAGTGGATCATAAGTTTAAAATTTTCATTTAACTTATTAGGGATGCGTAAGTATTTTCTGTAGAATATACGAAAAAAAAACTAAATGTTTTCCAGAATCTTGTCCATGTTAGAATATAAATCCAAGTATTCAATAATATTGGTTGTGTTCCGACATGGAATTAATTTTTCATGACTTTCTTCTGCCTGAACACATTTTAACTTCCTTCTAGAATGGCCTTAGTTATTCTCAACTCGACTCTAGAAATAATAATGAAAACGATATGATGTAATAATTAAAGTACTTGTAAAGTAAAGTAACAAATTTGTCATCAGGAACTGAGCTTGGCTGTTTAAGCGCCAGGGGAAAAGCTTAAATATTTTTTAAATACTAAAATATTTGAACAGTACACTGAAAAAAATTAGTAGAGATTCTTTCGAAACTCAGGATGAAATAAAAAATAACTTTCCCATTGTTGGAATTTTAACCATGCTCGATCATATTGATTGATCAACACTAACCATTCTTATAAATAAAAGTTCAATATGTCCCGATATCCTATGCTATATTATGTTTTCAATGGACAACCATTAGGAAAAAAAGTACATTAACATTAATTATGATTTCCCATGAACTTTATTTCAAAATTTCTTTTTCAGGAAGTAAAATTTCTAAATATTTTTGAAATGCGGTACAAATTTTTAGTGTTACCCGTAATTTTTCGACCGGATTACGTGCCATCCTGTCGAGATTTCATTCGCCGTTGCCGAGCTCATTAATTTCGAGTGCCTCTGCTCAGAATTTTATATCTCACTTGATATCTGTTATTTCCTACAAATTTCGAACGCGTTATAGGCGGCCGTCGATGTATAGATGTTTGGGTCTCCATTTCTATTAGTACAGCGCGTAGTGTTCGTTAATGAAGGTACATAATGCATGAAAAGGTCAAGTATTTTATAGCCTGTAAACATCATTAAATTCTGGAAATTTTCACTATTAAGATAGTATTCTCATAATACATAGAAGTCACGCAATACA